TCTCCTTATGAAATTTCTAGAATTTACTTTGGTGGTCAATTAAATATACTTCATTCTTCATTTTTTATTTTAAAAAAATTATTAATCTATATCTTAATTTTTTAATAATTAAGTTATTCATAATAAAATAACTCTCTCCAAAGTTCTTGATTTGGAATCTAAATAATAATAATAATAATAATAATAATAAGGAAAAGCAAAGGCAGTTAAATAATAGATAATATCCAAATCAAACTCTGAGCAGACACGAGATTAACATAAACTCATTAGAGAGATAAAAAGAAAAACTATGCATCTTATAAGAGTATTTATTTCGCTATTTTCCTTTCACGCACGGAAAAAAAAGGAATAAATATCCGAAACAGAGACTTCCTTTTACCAGAAAAGATAAAACACAATAAAACCTATAAAACGGTCTCCAAAACATAAAAATCTCTCTAAAGCTTCCAACTTTCGACACCGTTTTTATCCTTCTTGCAATCCCGTACAATGTCAGGCTCCGGTGGTGTCTCAGTTGCCCGAACCCGGGGAGAGAATCGATTCTATGTTTCACCAGGGATCCGAAAACAACAACAATTACAACAACAGAAGCAGCTGCAGCAGCAGCAGCAGAAGCTGAAGCTGTCGATTTCGAAGGATTCAACGGCTGAGATTGAGAAGAGAAAGGGGTCCGATCAATGTGGGTCGAATTGTTCTGTTTCGGGTCGGGTTGGGTCTGACACTAATTCCACGAATTTGGATCGGTTCTTGGAGTATACTACTCCTGTCGTTCCTGCTCAGTTTCTGCCTAAGGTAATTGATTAAAAAATCGGTAATTCTTTGGGTTTTTGTTGATTTCTGTTTTTTTGTTTTTTAATAAAGTTTAGATTTTTATAGCTTTTTCCTGGTGGGTTTTTGTTCTTGCGGCTCAGTTTTTGTCTGTATTGATTAGAGGTCTTAAGTTGTGAAGGACATGATTAATTACTTGATTAGATTAGGGTTTTGAGTTAGTTAATTGCATAGGGCAATGAATTAGGTTAATTCATCAAGCAAATAATTGTTGACAATGTTTAATTTTGAACGCAATCGTCTGTAATTAATTAGGGTGTTGATTTTAAATGACACCAATTGGACAATTAATTAGCTTCTTTCAGTTTGATGTACTTTGTTGTTTGTTGATGACATGTTTTGTTTAAAGGGGTTAGTATGGATTACAGGTCTTAAATTCTAGAGGTTTAGGGTTTCGAATTCAGTTAATTATTCTAGAGACGACTTGTTAGAATTGTTAAACTTGTATTCCAACTAATCCTATATTACAGCTTTGATTCTTAACGGTTCTTTGGGAAAACTGATTTGATTGTTATGAGTTTGCTTTAGATTGAAAATGAGTTGAACGTTTTATGTTTTAATGGCATGTATGTTCTTTTAATGGTGGCATTTGTGGGTCATATAGACAAGCGTTGGGGGATGGAGAACGTGTGAAGTGCAGCATCACCAGAACTTGTATTTTGTGCTTGAGGATTTATGGGAATCTTTTAAGGAGTGGAGTGCATATGGAGCAGGTGTTCCTCTTCTCTTGAACGGGAGTGAGACTGTTGTGCAGTATTATGTTCCCTATTTGTCTGGCATTCAGCTGTATATTGATCCATTGCGTCCCTCCGACAGGCTGAGGTGAGCCATTTTCTTGGCTTCTTATTTGGTTATATTTTTCATGTTTTTTAATTTTCCCAGTTCCAATTGATGTCCTGGCATGTTTTTGATGGATTTATTCATGTGAATTCTGGATGCATGGCCATTCTTCAATATTTTAATCTTAAATTGTACACATTGAGGTTAGGTGATTGATTAATTTTCTGGCTTAATTTATTTTTATTTGCATAAGGTTTGGACACACTGAAAGGCATTGAATCAAGTATCTGATGGAAGTGAAAGGCTTTTAGTACTGTTGGCGAGTATTAGCACTTTAGTTACTTTATAGTTACTAGCAGTACCTACTTCTGTCAATGTGCTTCTATGGATTTCTCTGTTTGATGATGTTAGTTTGTCCTTTTAATATACAGGGTTTGACAGATATGCCATTTTGTAGATGGCTCTTTTATTTAAATCTTAAAGTTGTTATTCCAATTAACAAACGGTTCAAAAGTCTACAAACTTAGTTTTATATGAGAATTATGGTTTTTTTTTTTTCTGGATTTTTTTTTAAAATTCCATTCTGAGGTCCATTCACAGCCAGTTCCTCCTTGTGGTTTCTATTATAGATGGATCTTTGACTGGAATGGATAAAGAGCAATGGGAGGCTATTTATTTGGATGAAATGAATTCAATTTGATGCATTAGAGCTGTCATTGATGAGGGGGATTTTAAATTTCATAGTTGATTGTTTATCTGTCTTTCGCTAGGTGTATTTTTCTTAATAACTTTCTGTGAAGCAAATGACATTTTTCTTGAACGGAAAATAGAAGCAAATTTTGCATCCCAGGGTTGTGTGCTGTACTATCTAGTGTCCATAATCCACTGACATGTTGAATCCAAAGTCCAATTTGGCCACCCACCTATGTATTATCTACAGGTTTACATGATCATTTTTTTGGTTTATACCCTAAAAACCCTTAATGCAGTCATGATCCCTTTAAAGTAGGATTCTTGGAGGCCAAAACTGCACCCTTGTGGCTGCAAGTGCAAGAATAGAAATAATTGTTAATACTGTTTGGAGAATTTGGAGCCGCTACTTTCATGTTAGTAATGATAATAATTTACAGTATAATTCTTGGTGTACTTTTTGCTGGAAAATTCCAGAATTAACCTTTCAAGAGATAATTTGTCATTGGAGTGGCTGAGACATGTACTGGTACTTAAGGTTGACTTGAATGACTGAATTCCTTATACCACAGACATGTTATGCTGAATTTTAAGATGGAGGAGGAAGATTTATCCATCTGAATTCCTAGGATTGTGAGTGTGGTTCCGGGACAGTTACATTTGTTGCCTTGTGGAATGTTTACTGACATCTTCTGAAACTGTAGTGTAAATTTTGATGAAAAGTTTGTCAGTGGTCCACTTTGCAAGTATTGACTGATAGTAACATGGTATAATTTTATTTTCTTGAATATGTTGTGATGCAGCAGAAAGGAATTTTGCCAGCCTTCCTGACAGAGCACTTACATTTTAAAATTGTACTGGCTAGATGGGTACTTTTGGTAATTGGATGCCTATGCAGTACAGCAAGTTTTGATAGTCCTTCCAATGGAAGGAATGATAAATTAAAAGTGAACAGCCCAATGTTTGAAACTATAGAACTGTAACTATCATGCTTGTTGCATCACATTGTTATTTCTTCCATCTTCTGACAGGAGGCCTGGTGAGGAGAGTGATACTGAGTCATCCAGGGAGACGAGCAGTGATGGTAGCTGTGACTATGGAGCAGAGAGAGTAGCAAGCAATGGTGTTTGGGAACCTTGGAGCCAGCTTAATGTTACAGATGCAAATATTCAGAGTTTGAATAGACTCTCACTGAGAAATAAACCCTTCAGGGGTTCATCAAGTGATGAATGTGAGATTTCGAACCCACCAGGTCCGCCTATTTTTGAATACATGGAGTATGCTTCACCATTCACACGCCAACCTTTGGCTGACCAGGCAAGTTCCTTGTCTTCAATTGACTTAAAATCTGGGTTCTGTTCTTCTTTTTCTTTGTTTATGTTTTCCGCATGTTCATGAATACTAACATCCACACCCACCCTTCCATCCCTCCAGATTTCAGTGCTTGCATCTCAGTTTCCAGAACTCAAGACATTTAGGAGCTGTGATCTATCACCCTCAAGTTGGATTTCTGTGGCTTGGTATCCCATATATAGGATACCCATGGGTCCTACACTGCAGAACCTGGATGCCTGCTTTCTAACCTATCATTCTCTGTCAACACCCCTTCAAAGTACATATCTTTCCTTATGTGTATGTCCTTGGTGAACTTTTATATCTGCCTGCAGGCTTATGTGTTTGTTGCATTTCTTGTTGGGACAGATCAAAACACTGAGGGGATGCAACTTCACAGTTCTGTTAGGGAGCTACACCGTGCTGACATGTCCCTCAAGCTACCTTTGCCAACTTTTGGGCTTGCTTCCTACAAGTTTAAGGTTACTTTCTGGAATCAGAATGGAGTCTATGAATGTAAAAAGGCTGGTTCATTACTAAAAGCCGCTGACAACTGGCTTAGGCATTTGGAAGTTAATCATCCGGACTATAGGTTCTTTGTTTCCCACAACACAAGCCCAAGGTGAAGCGAGTCCTTTATAAATGATTTTTTAAAGGAAACTGGTACCTTCAGTCCTGTAAGAGGAATCCCAATTTCAGCTCATACGAAATAACCTCCATTATTTTAATGTTGTATGGAGTAGTGTGGAGTTGTATGTCTTCAGGATTCTCAGACTTATATTATGTCCTGGCTCTGCCATCACATATCCTTAAAGAAGTCCCAGAATGGTCCAGTTTTTTTTATGCAATGATTTTCTTGCGCTTGAAGGAGCTTTCTGATAAGTATCTTGGTGCTGTGGCTTTTATTTGAAGAGTTGCAGATTCGAAGGAGCTTTCTGATCATAAACGGTGTTTGGATCTTATGGACTGTTTTCCAGGCCTGAAAGCTTTAGTTGTTGCAACTTTTTTATAACTTTGTCCTATAAAAACTACTGACTTTTGTATATGGTTGATTCCATGGTAGAATGTTCAATGTACTTTTTGTAGCAGCAGTTTCTTGAAATATGTTCTTACATATGCTGTGTTCTCTTAAGAAAGATCCGCTAAATGATCTGTAAATGATAACTTCCTCCTATAGACATATAGCTGCAATAGAAAATGCATCAGTGGCACTACTGTTTGTCGCAACAGCTAAAGCTATCATCTTTTCAGACAAAAGGCAACAAGGTTTTCAGGCTGTGGATTTTGCCTTCGCTGTTCCTTTTTGTCTATATACCCGTCCAGGAAATCCATGTTTATTACTATTTCAATATAAATTTTAAAAAATAAAAAATAAAAAAAATTATTTTATTACTATTTCAATATTAATCGGGCTCAATATTAATCCGTTTATTTTTTCCATTATGCACATGAGAGCTCTAAATACAAATAGGAGTACAAGGTAGTCAATCAGACCTCCTAGCTAACACGACTTGCGTCACAAATTGAACAGCTTTCCTCTTCACTTCGCTCTCACACCTAACATTATATTAACAATCCCCTCATAACTCATCATCCAGAATGGTGGAGAGCAATAGTCCTTGGACAAACTCTGATTTCCGCGACTTCTCCTGGTCCTCGTCTGATAGATGTGGATGTCGGACTTTCCTGCTGACACCAAACTAATGTTAGAAATCTTGAAAAAGAAAAACTCCACAACATACTGGCAATGGCAGAAAAGCCTCAAAGCAGCCAGTTGCAAATATAGTACAGGTTAGCAATTACATGGTTCAAGTTGCATTCGTTCCCTTTTAGCTACCTTTCTGCCAAACGTGATACTCTTCTCCAACAAAACTAAATTGATGAATTAGTGAAAATCATGTAGTGGTAAAGATGGAATGATCATTAACAGTCTTAAGTTCCTTGCTAAAAATTATGGAATCAGTTGAATACAAGCTCCAAGTCAATCTTCCAAGACCATAATAATAGAATCCTAAAACATAGTCAGAACAAATTATACATGGTCAGTAAACCTCAAACTCCACAAATCATTAACAATTCATCCAGAGAAGACTATGGTATCAGCACTACTAAAGTTCCATCCTTGCCTTCAAGGGTTTGAGATCATGGAGAGCCCGATATTCTGAACGTAAACCAAGCAAAAAGTACCTTAAAGGCAGTAACTCTACAAATTGCACACTTATCCTAAAAAATTTGAACTTCACACATCATCGCCTATTAACCAAATACTCAAGTGTTTGAAGACATCCTCACATTATAGATTAAGAAAAGATGCATATTTGCAGTAGTCAGTCTTATTCTTGGTTTTGTTACCAGATAGATCAGAGAAGAGGCTAATGAGTTCAGCAACTCATATTTCCAGCCCTAATTCAAACAAGTTCCCAGCCCTAAATCATTACCTTTTAGTTCATATTTTGGACGTCAAAATACAGAAACTTCTTTTATAAATGGATATCAAATGCAGCGGCTTATATGGGAAAAAGATAGTGATCATACCTTTCTAGAAACTCCTCAGTTGTGCTCCCCTTCACTGAGCTTCCTCCAACAGAAGAGAGAGGTTTTGCATTCAGTGTTTCATCAAAACCAGGTGGATTAAATATGAAAGGTGAAAGCAATGGATCAGGTTCTGTATTGGAGGACGAAACAAAGCACGAAGATCCACCAAGAAGGGATTGTAAACTTCCTTCTCGCAGCTCTTTTCTCAGTATAGAAAATGCTGAGTTAGCTCCCCCCTTCCGCAGTCTCCTCTTACGCTGCACGTAATCTCCAGTCAAGGAACTTCAACAGAGAAGTAGTTACAAAACAATAGTTTGGACACCGTTAACCGGTAACTAACAAGATAGGAGATTCCCAAGCACCCCTTTGATGTTGAAAGTTTCCCATGAGCCTAGGGATTCACTAGACAGATTTTCAGTTACCAACATTACCTAGGTCACTTTTCCATATAATTAACATTTGAACTACATAAACATGCATGTTTGGTTGTGTGTAAACCAATCCAGATTATGCAAAAACACCAGAACCAAAATGTTAAATGTTAAGAGTCAAATTTTGAGATAAAAGGATATATTAAAGAAGTTCCCATGCTGCCCAGTAATGTGGGTAACAATGTTCATCCCCACCCTTTTAGCACAAACTGGACATACCTGAAAACAAACAATTCCAGTATCATTTCAGAAACAGTCTCTAGAAAAAAAAAAAAAAAAAACTAGGAAGTGTAATTAATAGTGTTACAAAAAGAAAATGACCAATTTATATGCTCTAGATAGAATTAAAATTCTCAAAAACAAGGCGACAAACTCACGCAGTTAACCAAATTATCTCATTTAAAATCAAACCCCATAAAACCCTTTACCCAAAGCAATTTAACACTAAAGAACTAAACATTTTAATTTATATCCATCAATAGAACTCGATAAGAATATGATACCCCATTCTTGGCTTCAGCAGGATGCTCTTCATCGATGTGGCAAAAGAGACCAACAACATCAAAATCCTCGCCGCAAAACGGACACAAATACTCTGCTTTCAAATCCTCTTCTGTTTCAGTCTCATCATACAGATCTAGCACCACAAACCAACAAAAAAAAAAAGCACCTTTCAGACACCATCTCTTACTAAACTAAGGACATTACAAAAGAAATGAAAGATTTTACACAAACCAGATCGAGTCTGATATCTTCTTGAAGAAGTTGTGAAGCGAGAAGCCCATGAATCAGAAGCCATTGCTCTATTGGTTTCTCTGTTCTGTGATAAGAAAAAAAAGGTTAAGACTTTTATGAAGATAAAGAGTGAAACTTCTGTGAAGGGTGGAGGTGACTGTAATTGTGATAGAAGACTTTTATGAAATAAAGAGTGAAACTTCTGTGAAGGGTGGGGGTGACTGTAATTGTGATACTAAACAAAGGGTTTAATGGAATGTTGAAGAAGACTAGTAGATAAAGACAGGAAAGGAAGAGGAAACTGCGAGAGAGAGAGAGCGAGACAGACGGAACTAGAGACAGATTATCTGCGTTTTAAAAATATTTAATCGTTTTATTTTAAATTATTTTAACATTTTAATATAAAATATAAATTTTAAAAAATTAAAAATATTATTTTAATATATTTAAAAGAAAAACATTATTGAAAGTTTCATTCTTGTCTTTTATTGAAAGTTTTGTTTGTAAACATTCGGTATATTTATTTTCGTTAGATTGCATAATGGATTTTGTTTTTTTGTTTTACTCTTGAACATGTTGATGTAGCCGTGAGAGTAATAATAATTTTTTTATAAAATATTTTTTATCTAAAAATATTTTAAAGTAATATTTTTTTATTTTAAAAAATTATTTTTAATATTAAAATAATTTAAAAATATAAAAATAATTTATAATTTTTTTAATTTAGTGAAATGCTATTTAAAAGATATAAATGACCTCAAAATAAGTAGTATTTTTTTTTTTATTTTGAGTCAATGTTTTTTTTCCAAGACCTTTTGTTTTGGATAAAAAATTTTAAAAAATTAAAATAATATTATTTTAAAAAATTAAATAAATTACACGGATTATGAATTACCACCAATTAATTTTTTTAAAAATCTAAATAAATTTAAATGCTAAATTCACAAGGCAGCAAGTATAGTTCAAAATATCAATTCAAAGTACGAATGAGGTTGGGTTTTATGCACTCCATGCTTGCAATATATAATATAATTATGTGAAGTGATATTATTATCGTTTTATAATAGTTTAATGTATTTCAAGATAGAACCATTATTTATGGAAAATGTGTTTTGGCATTCCATTTGGGTAAATAAAACAAAGGGTTATACAGCATAACAGAATATTCACAGCAACATATACAAAAAATTAAAAGAATTTTACAACTAAACATCACCACAATTAAAGGACGTTTTAAATATGGATAAAGGGATACCCAACAAGCTCTCGTAGCTCAGTTGGTTAGAGCACCCGTTTAGTAAGCGGGAGGTCTTGAGTTCGACTCTCAACGAGAGCAAACCTGTCTTCCTCCGAGGAAGAAGAACTGTGGTGTAAGTCACAAGGAGGAAGGAGCTGCAAACAGCTATTTTTACCCTCCTTCGAGAGGGACACGAGGAAGATTGTGCTATGCTGAATCTCTTTGGATTTCTTTTTACTTCAGTGTCTTCTTAGGACAATGATTCACATAACAAATGAATTTGTTTTCTTGTCAATTAAAATTCAAAAAGGAAAAGACTTTGAATAAAGTTTCTTATAAATATGTCAATGAAAATACCTAACGAGAGACTTTACCATTAAAAAATATTTCTTCACTATGCAATCCTTCTTTCTTAAAAAGAGAATTTGGAAGTAGGTTTAAGTCATTTCATTTGTACCTAACTTGAATATGTAGATGAACTTGACTACTACTCAAAATATTATGAAATTACAAAACTATTATTCAAGAATTTTCTCCCTCCTTTTCTTGGGAATTCTTCCTCCTTGTTGATCAAGTTTTTCATCTTTTTTCTTCTTATTATTTCTTTCAACTCTAAAAAATTGAATATCAGTCCTTTGTTAATATGTAACATGCTAGTTAATGCAGCATTGACAATGAGACACTCAATTCCATGGATGGTGTTTCCAAAACTATATTTAGATATCTTAGTTTACTAGGGGTGTATGAATGGTGAGAATGTCCTTTGCGTTGAAAAATATTTGTGCAATATACCGAAAGGCAATGGACTTGATATTTTATGATGTGATCAATCATAATATTGTTATTATAACCTAATTTTTGAATAAATAATACAAAATATATTTGAGAATAGAATTAAAACAACATAAATTTAAAGTTTAGAAATGAATGTGAAAAACAAAGGAGGAATAGACCGAGAGAGAGTAGAGAGGGTCTGGAAAACAGAGCAACAAAAAAAAAAAAGACAAGCAGAAATAGAAAAACCAGAAGGAAATAGAATGTGAAAGACAAGAAGAAGGAGCAAAAGGAAACTTGAAAGCAGGAGCGTCGCCCTCAGCAATCTCGCGCAAATTTTCTATAAAAGAACCAGAAAAAGAAAACACCGAAAAACATCACAAAAAACCAGAACCTTCATCATCTCAGGAGCTGCTGGAAGACTAAAGCATACGGGCGCAAAAGCAAGGGAAAGCAGGAGTGATGACTCTAAGCAAACGAGAGCCACCGCGCTGCCACCATCCACACCGTCTCCAGAGAAAAGGTAAGTCATTTTCCTTTTGTTTGTTTGTATCTTCACTTGGAATGTATCGTTGCACTGTATGAAGCCACTCCACATGTGCTTCTTGCTGGTTTGGCCCAGCCACGTCACTAGTTTAGGCTAGTAACCAGACTGATTAGGGCTAGTTTTGGGGCTAGTTTAACTTATATGAGTTGAATTGGGTTCAACCTAAAATAAAAAAATAATAAAAATTAAAATATATATATATTTATAAATAAAAAATATTGATTTATTGGTTTATTTATTAATATTAAAGTCAAGAATAAAAAAACTAATTTAAATTTATTTTATTTTATTTTAGCTACATGAAAATAAAAAAAATATATGTACACATAAAAATAAATTTTATTTTTGTTTTTATTCACTGATGCTAGAGTTAGGAATAAAAATATAAATTTAATTTAATTTAATTTTATAACTATATAATATTTATCAATGCTAGAGTTGAAGTATCTAACAC